AGGGCCAGATCATGTTTCTCAGGCCTGTTGGATATGGAGGGAATAGCTCCAGAGAGGGCCAGATCATGCTTTTCAGAACTGCTGCCAGTGGAGGTTATAGCTCTAGAGAGGTCCAGGACATATTTCTTAAGCCTGCTGCCAGGGGAGGGTGTAGCTTCAGAGAGGTCCAGGTCATGGCTCTCAGGCCTGTTGCTTGGGGAGGGTATAGCTCCAGAAAGGTCCAGGTCCTGGCTCTCAGGCCTCTTGCCTGGGGAGGGTCTAGCACCAAAAAGGTCAAGGTAATGCATCTTGGGTCTGCTGCCTGTGGATGGAAAAGCTTCTGAGAGGTCCAGATCATGGTTCCCAGACCTATTGCCTGGGAAAGAAAGCTTAAAAGTAGTGCTGTTTACTCAACTGAAGGTGCCGACTTAAAGGTCCACAGCAGTATATTGCCCAGCTGAACCTACAGGTCCACAACTGGCCTGTAAGAGCGGCTGAAGATACTGAAAGCTAGCTGTCCATCCGGTCTATCAAATCTGCATTAGCCTGTGGCAGAAGTTAAAGAGCAAAAGGAATTGTATGCTGTTGTTTTTGGGTATCTTTTACCCCCAGCCCTCTGCCCACTGGACAACTGAGCCAATAAAATATCAAAAATCAGATTTACAGAGTGGATGTCTATCTGCCACCCTCAGTGGGTCAGTGACTGTCTGGGTGCAGCAACAAGGCACATCACTAGGAGGGCCCATATAATCTAGTAGCTTATTTGGGGGTCATTGCTACACAACATTTTAATGTTGCTTGTTTCATTTGAAAACAGCCCAAAAAATTGCCTGGAATGTGAAAATCCCCGACATTTGTTTTAATTTTCTGCATTCTCATTTAGACATTAACAGGCCACCAGGGAGCAATAAAGTGCCTTTCCTTTGACCAATGGCACTTGGTATCTGGTGGGGCCGATGGAAACGCCATCGCCTGGAGCATGCTGGGAACCTTTCAGAAGCGACTGATGACTTTCAGGCATCCAAAGTAAGGGTTTCATCCTTCTTAGTTTACATTGCAGGTAGCTGGTTCTATACTGGACATAGTCATTCAACATGTGATCATTTTGTTTGATATTTATATCTGACAGTATGAGGGGAAGAATCCTGGCCACTGAATTCTACCGGGAGACCATGGTGGTAATGGAGAAGCCAAAACACAACCACACTATGAGGCTCATGTATAAACCATTCACCCAGTGTAAAGCTGGGTGAATCCTGTTTACAAAGCATTATGGCCACTAGGTGGAGCAGAGGAACAAAGGAATCCCCTTTGGATACAGTGGGCAGAGCCACTGGGATGTTCTTATTAATGTCTAAATCCCACTGAATGAGATTTCCCTGGAATTCCTGTCCCCGGGGACACAGCAGAAATTGATGGGAAATTCCTCCATCGGAATAGGTGTCCTTGGAAGATATCCCCTGTACTTTGGTGACAACCACACAACTGCTATCAGTGTCTTCATCTGCTTTTCTCTCCAAAATGACTGTTCCATTTTTGTTCAGGCATCGCCCAAGGTCACGATCTGCTTCCTGGATTGATATGCCGCTTCAGAGATGACACAATCATGTAAATACTGGAGTCTGTGCAGTTTTTGGCTGTGTTCACAAATGTCTGACACAGATTAGTGCCTTCTGCAGCCTCTCTCCTTGGATTGCTACAATCCTTCAAAGTTGCAGACTGGTCACTGGGAGAGGGGAGACTGAGGAAATGCTTCCTCCTACCTACAGGAGTCTGATCACTGAGGGTATGGTGACTGAGGAAATGCTTCATCTTACCTGAAGCAGACTGATAAATGGGAGAGGGAAGACTGAGGAGATGCTTCCTCCTGCCTGCAGCAGTCTGATTACTGAGGGTAGGGTGACTGAGGAAATGCTTCATCTTATCTGCAGCAAACTGATCACTGGGAGAGGGAAGACTGAGGAAATGCTTCCCCCTGCCTGCAGCAGTCTGATTACTGAGGGTAGGGTGACTGAGGAAATGCTTCATCTTATCTGCAGCAAACTGATCACTGGGAGAGGGAAGACTGAGGAAATGCTTCCTCCTGCCTGCAGCAGACTGATCACTGGGGGAGGGGAGCCTGAGAAAATGCTTCCTCCTGCCTGCAGCAGACTGATGACATCGTCTCAGCCTAGGCAAAGTCGCTGATTAAAGCCCGAGGACGGCTTTTTAATGATAAAAAGGGGGAGCCTTGGTAAAGTTACTGAAAGTTCCACTTTAAACAGCTTTTTTTTATTCTTTCAGAGAGGTGACGTGTTTGGAGTTCCTCTACCTCAGAGTCATTACAGGCTGCGCTGATGGCAAAATCCGAGTGTTTAACTTTCTCAATGGAGACTGCCTCCGAGTCATGAGGGCCAATAGCAGAGCCGACCCGGTGGCCACTATGTGCATTCGCCATAACAGGTGATATATGTGTCCTTGCATGAGATAACTCTAACAAAACAACGCATTGTAATATTCAGTATACAACATTGCAGCGGTGTCCTAAACAGTCTTCTTTCCTCCTGTCCTTCCTATGCAGAATGGTAATAAACGTGTTGACCAGCATCATGATCTTCCAGTTCGAGGAAGTGTCATGGGATTACTCGCAAACATCAGAACGAGTGGACGCCCTGAAGGAACGGGAGAGGTTTAATTCCGCCCCCATTCGGGTCAGGCCTTACGGTTACGTGCGAGCGCAGAGAATGAAACGAGTGGGATCCAGCAACAGGAAGCTCTACCAGATGGATGAGGAGGAAGACGTGGAGGCAAAGACTCAACTGTCCCACCACGCTCGGAGTCTGTCTGCTAGAAGCACAAAGAGAGCTCACGGTATGGTAACGTTAGGTAGTAATTTAGCATGAGTATAAGAAACTAAAATGGGACTACCCCTAGCCAGCATCAGATTGGCCCTTTGGTTGGCCAGACAGAGTATTAGATGGCTGGACAAATTGGGGTAGGGGGGCTCTGGAGAAGTCCTAGAGGCGAGCTTTGGAGGAGGTGATGAGGGAACCAGAGAGCAGGAGGTCTTGGGAGGAGTGAAGGGGACGATTTGGGTGATATTTTGGTGATGAAGCTCAGGAGGGAGTTGTGGTTGGGTTTCTATTTTGTTAGTATTTTGATTTTTTTTGGGGTGATCGGAAGCCATTGAAGGGTTTGGCTGAGAGGGGCAAATATAAGTTTCTTTATATTTGTGGTTTAGGTGTGACTGGTTGTTTTCCATTGCCATTGGTGGCTTCCAGGAGCTGGTGTTAGTCTGGGAAACACCAAGAGTCCACTGGCTGGCACCATGCTTAGGGTCATGGTGATGTCTGACGAGCCCCAATGGTATTTAGGGCAAACACGCAAAACCTAGGGGCCATTTTATCTGCATACCGAAAGAGAAGAGGCAGATAGAGTAGCTTCTGACTTGACGGACCTAGGACAACAGAATATGCATGTCCATGGTGGGAAGACTGAACAAGAAGAGAACTAAGGTCAGGACACCATTGGCCAAGGTGCGAGGTCACTCATGAGGGCCAAGTTGGACCAAGGTATAGGAAAGGGCTGTTGTTGGACAGTAAAATGTTGGACAGTCCCACTGCATAGTGTAAAAGTGTCCGTATCCCATCGCACTCCTAACCGGATTTCAATCCCAACTAGTGATGGGGAGAGTGCAACAGTGAATGCGGATGGCGCCGCACATCAATCCATAAATAATCAAAGAAACCTCCAGCACTCCAAAGTTCAGAACATCAGGTTCTCTTTATTCACATAGGGGTCTTACAATGTGTGGCAACGTTTCTAGAACCCAATTTGGTTCCTTGCTCCTTGGATTCCAAAACGTTGCCACACATTGTGAGACCAATATGTGAATAAAGAGAACCTGACGTTCTGAACATTGGAGTGTCAGTGTTAATGAAGACAATATCTGAGCCGTGCAAGAGCAAAGGAACGCGGTTTTTATGCAATCCTGGTTGGGGAAGATCCTTACCATAATCTCTTGCAGGTGCTGTGCAGTTACAGAACTATTCTGCAGGTAGTGAAACCTGTGGAACTGTCCTGCTTGCTCCTTCTGTATATTTTCCCAGAATCCTTTGTTCTTGTGAACATGAAGCCCGTGGTGCTCAGCCTTTGTCTGTCTCAGGTGAAGATGTACTGGGCTCTACCAAGCTCATATCAATCATTAGATGCAACGCGTTTTGTGTTAATGGTGAACTGTAAACTGTTACATTGTTTCCCGCAGATCTGCATATGAAGTCTTTAAATCCGGCGACGTGGCCCGAGCTGACGAATTACCGTCGGAGTTTTGCGTACATTGACTTACAGCCCGAGTTCTTCAAGAAGCCTCCGTCGGCGTACAGGCCGCAGACAGCGGGGCAAAGCATTCCAGAGGTCTACAGCAGAGCGAGCACGGCGCCTGCGATGAAGACAAAGGAGGATTCTGGTAGCTATATATATATATATCGTTGCTATTAAATCCGAACTCCAGGCGGATATTAAAACAAAAATCACGGAAATATTACACAACGCTTTAAAGAGAACATAGCACTCAACATCAGTCCCTGTCCCCCGAAGGAGCTCACAATCTAATGTCCTGACCACACACCCTAGAACCACTTGGGAGGAAGCCACTTCACCTACTATGTGATAGATAGATAGATAGATAGATAGATAGATAGATAGATAGATAGATAGATAGATAGATAGATAGATAGATAGATAGACCAAAAAAAAAAAATAATGTCTAGTCGAAACCGTAAAAAAAAATTCCAAACTTTTTCAAATTTTGTAAAATATTTTATTTTTATGTATTATTTATAAACGTTAAATATTTTTATATTTTATATTCATTTAATTATTTGTATTCAATATTTTTATTTTTTACTTTACTTTTAGGGACTTCGGGGAATTATTGGGGATCTAAACAGACCCCTGATATTTCCCTTTTAAAATAGAAAAAGAGATTGAGGACACAGAGTCCTCAGAGAACACAGAGTCCTCTCTCTCTTTTTCTGCAGCCCCTGTTATAAATGAACAGAGATCCTCTATACTGAGTGTTCCTGATAATTCATAACATGAGGACAGAGTGTGTTTACTATAACCACAATCATGAATGTACAGGAGGTGATGTAGATGACTTCCCATTCATTCATAATTGAGGATATAGTAACCATACTCTGCCCTCAATTATTTACAAACACTCAGCGATCACTAATCACTGACTGCTTGTACCCGCTCTCCATCCTGACACGCTGTCACAGGAGGCTGAGCTCTCCTCCCCACAGCGCTCGCTCAGCCTGCTGTGACAACACTGGCTGTCTCCGCCCACACCGCTCTGCCGGACTGTGGCAGGAGGCTAAGCGGAGCGGGGAGGAGAGACGCCCGCCGCTCACATCGCTCTCCTGCCGCAGCGCTCGGCCGCATGTGACAGTTTCTCCCCTCTGAGCTGGGACACAGAGCAGCGCCCAGCGGGGCAGAGAGAAAGAACAGATGCACCGCCATATCGGTAGAAAAATTCAGCCAAAAGTGCAATTTTAGCCAAAAGTGCAATTTTCGGCCGATATGTTTCGAGGGCCGATATATCGGTACCTGATAGAGAGAGATATGGAAAGATGGATGGATGGATAGATGGATGGATGGATAGATGGATGGTTGGATAGATGGATGGATAGATGGATGGATGGATGAATGGATAGATGGATGGGTGGGTGGATGAATGGATAGATGGGTGGGTGGGGGATAGATGGGTGGGTGGGTGGATGAATGGATAGATGGGTGTGTGGGTGGGTGGATGAATGGATAGATGGATGGATGAATGGATAGATGGATGGGTGGATGAATGGATAGATGGATGGATAGATAGATGGATAGTTGGATGGATGGGAGGATGGTTGGATGGATGGATGGATAGATAGATGGATAGTTGGATGGATGGGAGGATGGTTGGATGGATAGATGGATGGATGGATGGATGGATAGTTGGATAGATGGATGGATGGGAGGATGGATAGTTGGATAGATGGATAGATGGATAGATGTATAGTTGGATGGATGGATGAATGGATGGATGGGTGGATGGATGGAGCATCTCTTCTTGAAACGAGGGATGGATAATTGGATAGATGGATAGTTGGATAGATTGATGGATGGATGGATGGATGGATAGATGGATAGTTGGATGGATGGGAGGATGGATGAATGGATAGATGGATAGTTGGATAGATGGATAGTTGGATAGATGGATAGTTGGATAGATGGATGGATTGGAGGATGGATGGATGGATAGATGGATAGTTGGATGGATAGATGGATGGGAGGATGGATGAATGGATAGTTGGATAGATGGATAGATGGATGGATGTATAGTTGGATAGATGGATGGATGGATGGATGGATGGATGGATGAATGGATAGATGGATGTGTGGATGGATGGAGCATCTCTTCTTGAAACGAGGGATGGATAGTTGGATAGTTGGATAGATGGATGGATGGGAGGATGGATAGTTGGATGGATAGATGGATAGATGGATAGTTGGATAGATGGATAGATGGATGGATGGATAGATGGATGGATGTATAGTTGGATAGATGGATGGATGGATGAATGGATAGATGGATGGATGGGTGGATGGATGGAGCATCTCTTCTTGAAACGAGGGAACATCTCACCTTCCATAGTTGTCTCCAGAACAAGCGTTCCCATTGGGAAATTCCCATCTACTCCTGTTGCTGTATAAATTCACTGCAATTCACTTCTCTTGTTAGCTTCCAACCCCTCTCCAATTTAGAAAATAAAAAAACTACTTTAAATATACATAAAATTAATTTTTTTTATACATTTTTGGGGTGTAAAGGTGAACTGACACTGAAGAAAGTTCATAGAAAGCAGCTAAACACACAGAGATCAGTCGTATGTCAGGAATTGTGAGAGAAAACGAAGAAAGGTCATGGTTGACAGGTTACAGCAGTCACATATAGCATGCGGTGCACTCTGATAAATCCAAGGACTGAAAGTATTGGAAAATGGAACAAAAAATATTTATGACAATTAAAAAAAAAAAATGAAAAATATAAAAATAAATGTTACAAATAATATTTAAATAGAAATAAATAGAAAAAAATTAAGTAAATAAA